ACCTCAATTATTTATTATACTATTTCTTATTAAACCTGAGTTGATTAAACGAGTATCATATTCTAGCATTATTTATAGAAAAGTTTGTTAGGAATAGGTAATCAAACTCTTCTATGCACATACATCGTCTAATTTCAAAACTATAACCACTGCAATTTTACTTTATATAAGAAAAATTGTTTAATAATACAAATATTTTATTCAAATAATTGCAATAAAAATCTTTAATTAATTTTTTGTTTTTTTATGAAATTGTAATAGTAATAGGATAATGAAAAGAGACAAATATATCGATTTTATTTATAAACTCATGCCAAAATTTCATCACTCTTTATTCAACCTAAACAATAAATAAAAATTTTTTGTATATTTATTTTTCTGGTATAAATACTTTTTGTTTAAAATCTCTTCTTGAAATATATTAAATATATTTTAAATCCTAATTAAAAACAAAAAAAAGCAAAAAATAAAATCAATTTAATATTATTGAAAACGTCCATCAAAACTATAGAGCTAATTATAATTACGCAGCTGAATAAAATTTAAGCAAATCGTATTAAAATACACAGCAATATTCATGAAATATACCCATAGGATATATCTACATTTATATTTGGTAGCAAATATAATCAGAGTCGGATTAAAATATAGCCTAAAAAACATTTATCATGGTTTGAGTGAATATGCACTTAATAATTTTTAATACCTACAAATCACACTATTTAGCATGTGAGTGTCTTATTAAATATTATTATAAGTAAATCGAAATTTGTGTAGAATGACTTATATTCCAGAAGAAAAAATTTCAATTGAAATTGAAGATTGCAATTGAAATCAAAATTTCCACACTGCCTTCTCACTCTTGGAATTTTTTCGTACAAAGTTAAGTAATATTTTATAAATTTTATGTATGCCATAAATTTTTCATGTTTAGTCGCCTTTTGTCGAACAGACTTCAATGACTTTTTAACATGCTGCTTATAAAACTAGCACTATATTTAGGTATATACGTAAAGCATTTAGAACGGGTAATTATATGACTGCAAACATTCACTTCCTAATAAATTACAATAACATATAATTTTAGAAAAGTCCCTTTACTAAATGTCCTCAAAATAATAAGTCCGACTCTCTAAAAAATATAAAGCTTTTGTATCATGTACATAATTTGCTTAATTTTCAAAATATTTCCTTCAGTACATCCATATAAATATTTTCCATATAGAAAGGCCTATAAATATATATTTATGTAAATTATAAAATTTTGTTCATATTAATTGAATTTTATAGCTAATCGATATTATTTTATATGCACATTGAAATATGACAGTATATACAATAAAGTAAATTGAAATCAATTAATTTTCAAAATTGAATCTATATTGTTTAATAACATTTTATATTGAATAAGTATAGCGAAAATGAAATTTATATAATATACACACTTCAAAAATTATATTATAATTATATATACTTGTGCCTATATTTAATTTTAATAGGCTTATTAAATGTTTTGTATTTCCGGTGTATATAAATATTTTGCATAATAATAAATTCATATATTTTTACCAAATGTGCTCATATTGAATTTTGTTTATATGTATGTGAAATATTTTAGAATTTGTTATGAGTATTTTTAAAATAAAAATTCGTCAACTAATTTTCAATTAATTTGAAAATTAGCTGATATATCAGTTTTAACTATCCCCAATTCATTATGTAACATGCAGATGTCGACAAAATATTATTAATTAATTAAATAGAAAACAATTTACACCCCTAAGAAGTATAGTACAGCTTTTTCTACCTCAAATTACAATCGGCTCACACAACAGCATAGATATATGAATCAGAAATCCATAATTACATATTATATTCATCTACATTAAATATATATTTAGTATAGACATTCGAATAATTTTACAAATTCACCAACAATTTATTTAAGAGCTCAAGCAGTAAGTGAAATACTATTGCAACACATATTAACTTTATTATTTTTATTTTATATGAAAAAGTGTTGCCAACTCAGTTATAATTGTATATTAAATTTCCGTCTAATGAAGTATAATCAAAAGAGTTTAATATGTTATGTTAATAATTCTAAGACATGTTATTAATATAAATTTAAGCGTTAATTATAAATTATTTTAGTTAACGCCTAATTTAAAGCGTCACTTATTAAGTATTACTTCTTCCAATTTTTTAACAGTATTACAGTTTATAACAGTGCTAAGTGTTATATAAATAAATGCATTGTAAATATTATAATATAAACCATAAAATTCTTTCATATATTACATACCCAAGATATAAGGTATGCAATTACATACATTTGTACAATATATGCTTTATATTGCTACCAAATATAGAAAATATTACAATAGTTATATCTGTCATACTTTGTTCCACTTAATATCTATGGCGTCAAAATAATATGTATTACATACTCCAGCCTCTGTGATGTTAAATAATATTCTATTATTTCTATTAAAGAATATTTTCAAATACACACATTACTTATATGACGTATACCTACGCTGAGTTTATATGTGTTATACATTATATATTATGTAATAATGAACATACATACATATATACACATATGTTATATTATATATTTGTACAGATATACTGTTACATACTTTATAATTAATTGCTTATGTCATTCTATTAAAAACAATCCATATATTTTCAATAATAATACAATACGGTATAACATAAATCCTATATGACAGCAATTAATTTTATTTATAGAATTTAAGAAACATTAATTATTTAATTTAAGCATTCCCATTTTAATTTAAATTTAATTTTTTTTGTTTTTGCTATTGTTTTCTCTAAAATATTTTATATAACATAGTGTATAGTTAGTTATTATCTATTTTCTACCACTTAAATATCTTTTTAAATTCCTATCACATCATTAAATTAATATTGATGGATCTACGCATGGATACACACATTTATGTACATATACTAGGTACCTACTTGTTAAAATAACCCTTTCATCTATTAAACTCATCATAAAATTTAATACTAGAACCTTTCTTTGTAATCCTATATCTGGACTTAAAAAGAGAATGAAAAAAAAATTCAGTAGAGTTTTAAATAAAAAAATTAGAAAAATTATTTAGTTTTTCAAAAATAGATTCTAAAGTGATTGTTATTATTGTAAAAGTGTCAAATTTTTAACGAAATCTTTTGATAATTAAGTTTCTACTGAAAATTATTTAACATTCTCATTTGTGATATTCTAAACAATATCATCGGGTTTTAATTTTAAAATTTTTCTCCACAGTGCAAGTTATTTGATCATCAATTATTTGACATTTTATTAACATATTCTTTTATTGCATTTACAATGATGCCTCATACCAGATAACATGTGTAAATTTTATGATAAAACATAAATACCTACTGTGTATAACGGTATTTACAATCTATTATAACAAACACATAACGATACACGTATATTGAAAGCATTGTTATCTATTGTAATGTTTATTAAAAATAGATTTAGCATACAAATTACTACACTTATCTATAAAATTAGAAACAGTATTAAATATGGAATCATTAAGACCAGTTTTAGAACAAAACACGAATTTTATCATTTACTAAATTCTTTTCTATCATAATTTTTATATACCAAAACTAGTTTCTTTTTTCTATTCGTAATTTGAAACACTAGTTGGTTCCTATTGCCTATATTAGCAATTCATTCGAAAATTTTAAAATCTCTTATCTTTTTACTTGCAATTTAAAGAAAGATCAAAATTCTTTTGAAAAAAAAACGACATTAGAAATTAATATAAATTTCTCTTTTTTTTTATTTTTACATTCATTTCATATGTAGTGTCAAGTGTTCATTTTAAAATTTATATATTTTGATCCAAGATTATAAAAATATGTCCATTTCGTTTCTAAATGACTACCTTAATTATAGAAATTTATAAGAAAAAGAAATGAAAAAACAAAAATACTATTGAAAGAAAAAATAACAAAAAATAAGGAACGGTCAGTCTTTCATTTTTTTATGAAGTACAGTTATACAGAATATACATATTGAATTTGCGTTATAAATTTTCGATAGCGTGAATTGAATAGTTTTGAATAAAGTATTTTTGAGTCCCATGTATTCTTGAATCGGATGAAAGCAGCCTTAAACTAGCACTCTATGCTAGAATTTCTAGCTTTTCAAGTAGGCGACCGAGGCCGTTTGACCTTTCTCACGTCGAATTATTGAATCTGTTGTGATTCCCACTCTCACTTACATAAGCACTATATCTAGGTCTCTAATAAGTTTGGATCCTATACTACATCTGGCGAGAGAGTTCCAAGAACGGCCCTATTGTACGACATAATGAAGATCGTACTCCTCCTGAGGTTTCTTCCGATACCTGCTCTTTCCACAACTTACGTTGAAATGAAGCAGATGAAATATTTTACGATTGATATATTTCACACATTATCAAGCACTACTTTTAAAATAAAGTCGGTGAAATCGAATATAAATTTTTCTTTTCTATTTTTCTTTGATACTGTACAAAAATATTTGTACGACCAAATGTCATACGAATTTTCAATTACTTATTTCCCAGCATGTGTTCAAACATCAATAAATTTCAATGAGCCTTAAAAGAAATTCTAATAATGTTAGAACACACTATATTTATGTCGCCATTACAATTCTTAATAGATATTTCATACAACTGTTATTGTATCTGTTATTAGATACGTAATGAATCATAAATTGAGGCGTGTTGTCAGATTTTCCTTATTCTATTCTGTTTTTTTTTCATTATATTTCCCTGTTCCGTATGTCTTGAAAGTGAAAATTGTATATTATGTACATTTTTGTATTCTTATCAAAAGCAATAAGTTCATATACATGTTACATTGATAATTTATATTTTGTTTTAAAAATAAAAATTAAAATGTAGACTAGGTCATTGAAAATTTTATTTAATAACTTATTTATTTTCTTTCTTTTTCAGATTAAAAATCGATAATAATGGTGGTGCTTGGTGTCCTAAACATATGGTATCACGAGGTCTTAAAGAATTTTTACAAGTTGATTTATTACAAGTTCATGTTATCACTGCCATACGTACACAAGGACGTTTTGGTAAAGGTCAAGGTCAAGAATATACTGAAGCATATGTTTTAGAATATTGGAGGCCAGGTTTCACAAAATGGTTAAGATGGAAGAATATTCAAGGGAAAGAGGTAAAATTTTATATGAAATGTGAACATGTTAATATTGCCCTTCAATATATCTGCTTCAAATTGCTAAATAGGGTTAAACTTCTATTTAGTAAAAAAAATTGCTTTGTAATGCATTTCAAGCCCGGTACAATTTATTCCATTTTTCCCCTGCACTAATTGTAATTTAAACAAAATATAAGATAGTAGTGTCGCCAAATTCAAAGATATATAAACTATTCATCAAAATGAATATTCTAAAATATACAAATCTGCATTATTATTCTATTTCTTCAAAAAATAACAGAGAGAAAATTATTTTTTCTCACAAGCTTTTATATATTTTTACTTTCAATTTCAAGGCTATATATGTATGTACATCAATCTTATAAACAGTATGATGTAATAAAGATTTATTTTTTCCATTTATCCTGTTGAGTATTAAAAATGAATTCTTAGAAAAGATCTAAGTTCCTTCTTAATTGAAGAAAAAAAATCTCTTCAACACTTTAAGTTTATATTTAAATTTAGATCTACATATTTTACATGCCTTAAACATTGCTATAGGATTAAAGAACATGATGAGTTAATATAAATTTAAGTTATTATTTAAAATGTTTAATATTATAAATTCTTGATTGTTGCCTAAATGATTTAAAAAAATATATATTTTGTTTTTTATTTTTTTAAATCACAATGGAATTTTCCATCTTTTAATTTCATGGAGAATAAGTTTTTCCATATATTTTCCCAAGTTTTTAATTTTTTTTTTTGTTGTTCCTATTCTTTTCAGGTTCCTTTTCCCTCCCTAACAAAAAAATATGAATTGTCACCGTATTGACTATTTTTTTTTTTCTTATTACTTTCTTTATTTTTTAACTTTAATTTCTCTAATAAATTATTCAAATTCTCTAAGTCATTTTACATATTTATTAGAATATTTTGTAAAAACAACAAAATGGGAAAAGCTTTTTTTAAAAAATAAAAAAAAACAAAGGGAAAAGCAAAAGCGAAAACAACATAAAATCAATAAAAATGGTGAGAAAAAATTCATGAAAATAGAATGAAAGCAAATTAGAATTTTATTTGAAAGAAAATGAAAAACAAATTTGTATAAGGATGATGATGGCATGGAATCAAGTCGCGTGAAATAAAATCTTAAAATGTAATTATCATTTATTTCCAATAATTGGAATCATTTAAAAACTCATACACTAATAAATACAATTTGGCAATGATTTGACACTATTTAAATTTTCTAAGTTAATTATGGATTCGAGTACTTGGCTTTCGAGCAGCAAAATTATGTCACATAACATAATTTAATAAATGTGAATATGTTATTAACTTACTTATTGGCTAACTTATTGATTAATTATCGATGTGAAGAGAATATTTTCGTCAGTAAGTGAATGAGTTGAACAGACCTGAACAACTCCAGAAAAAATAAATAATATCGACTTTCAATATGTACACTTAAATTTGAGCAGTCAGGTATGAGTCGTAATATAAGCCTTAAAATAAAAGAAAGAAGTTTTAATCAATTTAAATTTAGAAAATTCCAAACGTTTACATATGTTCAAAGCAAAAGATATCCATGCTATATAGAGCATGTTGTCTTAACAAAAAATGTTTATAGCATATTCGGTTACTATGTTTATAACTAGACTATGTTTAACTATGTTTATAACGACCGTGTAGTGACGAACAGTATAACTTTTCTAAAAAGAAATGAGTTCTATATATTTAAAACAATTTAGCAAAAAAGAAATGAAAGAATAATTTCAGCTTCATTAAACAAACAGGCGTCTAAAGATATATTCTGCTACGTTCTGTATCCGCTTTCAATTATGGCAATTCAAGATCTAATATTTACATAATACAAAAGTTTTTGTTTGCCACCAGCAGCAACACTATATTATGAACTATGAAACTTATGATGAAATGTAAATATTAATCAACTGTATTCTGACCTTTTTCCTTTTTTAAGATCTATATATTATTTTAAAATTTCAATTATATTCAATTGCCTGTTAATTATCATTTGACAATTTTATCGTTTGTAAAATGTTAACTAAATATGAATAAGAACATAATACAGAAAAATGCCACCACCATCGCCGCACAAAATATGTAAAATTACTTGATAAATAGAATCTTAAATGGTTTAATCACATATCACCAAATTTCGGAGTCACTAAAATACAATATTTTACATCAATTACGTATTCCTCTTTTTCTTACATTTTTCCTTAACTTATCAAAATCTAAAAATAAAAACAAGAAGATAAAATGTAAATATACGCACATTAAAACCACAAAACAAAAAGAAAAACAAATTGTAAGCGCCGGCAAAATTATATTAGAAAGCACAAAAATCAGAAAAAAAATATTTCCAACAAGAAAACCGCGTAACAAAACAAAAACCAAAAAAAAAAACACGATGCGTATTTGTACTTATTTAAAGGTCTCAGCTTCACAAATCTTATCCGTAACAGCCAGAGGTCCTTTTAAAAACCACAGGAAATATTCCTTTTAAAGGCAATAAAAATAAATTCAGATTACAAAGATTTTTTCTTTTTTTTCACTTTGTTCTTTTCTTGTTCTTTTTCTTATACTTTATTTCTATTATTTGTTTTGATTTTCTAATTTTTTTTCTCTTCTCCTTACATATAATTCCAGGTCCTCACAGGAAACATAAATACTTATAGCGAGATTGAAAATACTTTACAGCCCATCATTTTTGCATCGAAAATTCGTATTTATCCTTATAGCCAATATGATAGAACGGTGTGTTTACGAGCTGAGATTGTTGGATGCCCATGGGAAGGTAAATTTATATAGCAAGGAATAAAAATAAATAAATAAATAAATTTTGTTATGTTTTGTTGGTATAATACCGCACTATAAAGTATTCTGTTGGTCCAGTAATTTTGATACAACCATATTTCATAGAATAAGAGACCTTATATTCTAATATGTACATACCTATATAGGATGGACTTTTACATTTTATTGTATAAAAAAATATATTCAATATGGTTTTTAAAGAATTACCAAATTGATACATTAAAGTTTATTAATAAAAAATTTCCTGTAGCTATCAACTTTTAATTATTTTCTAAAAGCTATTTTTACGATCAGTTCATGCAGTTTATTAAGAGAAGTAAAAATTACATACATAGTTTTTAAATATAACACAGTCCTGCACAATACAATTCCATAAATCTGAAGCCTCAATTAAATTAGATTACGATGCGGCCTACAAACAAAAGCAAAATCATTTCTTCGCCAGCAACAAACGCCGGTCATTTCGATGGCAACACTTTAAAATAATCGAAAATTACATGTATTTTTTTAGATTGAAAAATTAAAATAATATTTTAACCTTATTGAAAATCGAAAAAAAAAAAACAAACAAATCAAAATATCAAAAGAATGTAAAAGAAAACTTTCCCTTTTTATTTGCTTTAAAAATAAGAAAAAATTGGTAAATAAGTTCGGAAATCGCGAAATTGTTTTGTTTATTTCTTATTTTTTAAAGTGGAAAAATATTTAGGGCGCAATGAATGTTTTCGACAGTTTTGTACTGATTTTTTCATACTTTCTTTTATTTTCCTTTTCTTTCTTTCCATTTTTTTATTTTTTTTAATGATTTACGCGATTTAAGTTTAAAGAAAAAATAATAATAATAAAATTTGATTTCCAATTTTTTATACTTTTTTTTTCTATTTTTAATGTCCTTACAAATTTAAAATATCAAATTATTGAGGTTAAAAAGCGGATTGAAACGATAAAATAATTTTTTTTTTGCTTTTTCTAATTTTATTTCAGGGTTACTTAATCTCCCTTACTTTCTTCAACTTGTCCCTTTGTATATATTGTAAAAAAAAACGATAAACAAATATAAAAGAAAAAAAATTAAAACCATTTTCGTAAAAGAACACAAAAGGTTTTATAAAGTATTGCCTTAAAAATAGATTTAATTATGCAAAAATTTAACGTTTTCCTTTTATTTTCGGACAATAGAAATAAATTTAAGAAAAGTTTAAATTTAATCATAATTATTACGATTTTGATTTCGAGTGATTTTTTGAATTCAATAATATTTGCTACAAATAAATTTAAAATTTCGTTTAAATCTTGCTCATTTTCATCATTGAAGAAATCGAACACCTACCGATTGCTTGGTTAGTCCACATAATTATTTTAATAAACAAAGTCCCTCTTTTCTAATCTGTAATAACATTATTTTATTTCATAAAATATTAGCTTCGATTTTCAGATTTTCACAAAAAGAATTCATTTTGAAATTTAAAAATTAGTTTTAAATTATTGAACTTATTAAAAAATTCGAACTACTAAAATTTTCAACCTTTCATTTTCAACAGTATATGTACTCGTAAGTGTAAATTTTTAGTTTAAAGATCGCCCTTTTACCAATTTTACCATCAAACATATTCATTTTATTTAAATAGCAATCAATTTAATGATCTTTTTGTATATAGATAATAATAGCTTTAATCAATACATAAGTACACACTTAGTATATTTAAGTATTTAGGTCAATTTGGCACGAACATAACTATAATGCAACGCAATTATATGAACATAATATTACGAACAATCATTAATTAAACAAATTTATAAAACTTTTCATATTGGTAAATAATAAAATTTTTTTTGTATATTAGTATAATTAGTTCCACTAATACAATAATTATATTATATTTCTAAATTAATATTATTTTTTTTAATTATTCACAAAATTAAGACCATAATGTAAATAAATAATAAAAATTCATATAAATTGACTTAATTAATTTTTCAAAATACCATTAAATTAAAATTGTTTGAACGACAAAAAAAAATAGAAGGTTTATTTTAATTATTTTTTTAACAATAATCATCATTAATATTTAAAACGAATTGTTTAATTAAAAATCAACCTATGAATATTTTGTTAAAATTAAATGGTACATGATATGTGTATTTTTTGTAAATTTTGATTTGTGGATTGTAAGTTTATAAGTGTACTTAAAGAATCACTGGGTCTTTTTAGATGGTCACTGGTGAAATTTGATTTACAGACGCAAAAATGGAACTTTTAGAAATTTCATTCTTAAATAAGATTTTTATATAAGAATAATAAATTAAGTTTGTTATTATATAACGAGTAATATACTCAGTTGCATCTTCTTCTAATTCTTCTAAACGAATATCAATACCATTATTTACATCATCAAAAACAATATTATTATAAATTTCAGACAATAATTTTTTTATTTCGTCAGTTTGAAAAACCTTATTTTCTCAGTATTGCTCATTTTGAGTTCTTGACTGCTATTTATGGAAAGTATAATTACTTCAAATTAAAAACACAATTACACAAATAATGATTGATATTTCATAGACTTATTCAAATTGTTATTAGCATTAAGGACACATATTAGTGCATATAATAATGTTTTAATATCATAGGTTTTATTTAAATATTAGACTAAAATACTTAACCTTATATTTAAACTCCAACGGGCTGTGATGATCATTAACACCAACTCTGCAACGAATAAAACCAAAAAACCACATCCTGACCTTTATCCAAGTTTAGACCCCTCCGAGTCGGGTTCTTTTTCCAATCCGAGTCCTTTATAAACCGGTTTAGAGCCCTGCCATTTAAATTCGTCAGGTTCGTAACTCGCAAAAAGAAATTCGACCCAAAAAATCTCCAAGCCAAAGCAGGAAATTGAGCACAAAGAGCGAGCCGCTGTCTCCTCCTGCTCGTCACAGAAGCTACTGCAGGAATCATTAGGAGCGTATTTCCTTACGGTCCTCCTGGCATATTCGTAAATCAGACAGTGCCCAGATATGAGTCATATGAGATTCCGATGTTTCTTCCACACCGAGGAAGAAACATCAGATCCTCTCAATATCCAAAAAGGCGACCATGGTGAACTCCTCTCCACACAAGGATCGTATGTTGTGCTAGGGACAATAGATTTGAATATAAGTTGTTCCGCATGTATGTGTATAACAGCTTTTCGAGTAGTTTTAGTAGAAATGATGTTAGACTGATCGGTCTAAGGTCCTTTGCGCAGCTATGATAGTTTCTCACAGCCTTGGATATGAAGACCACTTTAGCTACACTCCAAATTCGAAATGTAAATTAAGTCTATACAGCGCTTATAGATTATTTTCAGCCATGGAAGGATAACTTCCGTTGCGTTTTGCAGTTCTGCCGGCATTATCAGTTCCTTTGTGATTTCTGAAGATCATTGTAGGATTCTACCAAGCAGTGAATTAGAAATGTATACACCGATGGTTAGAAAGGAAATCATCCTGCGAACTTTCCAATTCGTTCGTTGCCATTCCAGTTACATTTTAGGAAACTTGGATTATATCTATAACCTCTTGCCGGTTTTTAGTAATAAAAGTGGATTCTGATCCCCTATTGCATAGGCTAGAGTTAGTATTCAAGAAAAAACTCTGAAAGTAACTCACCCCTTATGTTTGCATCGTTCCCCGGATGGTTTCATTAGAAATTAGCTTCCCATTTTTTTTAAAACAGATACCACTAATACGGAGTTTTTCCGAACTCCCTTTTTCCGAATAACCTGTATGATTTTGCTCCAGCTGAATATAGGGAAACTATTTCAAATTTTTTCCATTTCGTTCCAGTCTTCCAACTTGATCTTTCGTAAATATTTTTTAATAGATTTACGGAAAAAATATTTTTTTCCCTGCTCAGAAGCATTTTGAATTTGACTGTCCGTTTTCAACGTTTTTTTTAATTTTACGATTTCTTGATTTTTTTATAAATTCTATCAAAAAACAAGAAATAAATTGAAAAAATAAAAAATTTTCTGTTTAATTTTAACTTACGTAATTAGCCACATTTACAACATTATCATTTATCACTTCCTCAGCTTGAGACTGATGGTCAATAAAACTAGGGGTATTGTTTTGGAGTAATACTTATATTATCATGGTTCTAAATGTTCTTAACATATTTTTCACCATATTCCGAAACCTTTTTTAATTGAATTTTGCCGTTCCTCCTTGTCTTCCTTATTAGTTCCTTTATCCATATTTTTAAGAATATTCGGAATACTTAGGCTCGGTATAGCTTTCTTTTTTTAATGTTTTTTTTGATAATGTGTCGAATGAAACATCTTCTAAACAATAAACAGATTCTACAAAATACTCATAACACACTCTTACAGCATTCATAAAACACTGCTTATGTATAAAACAAACTTTCAACTCCTTGTGATACAACATTCCAAATTTGGGAAGCTTAAGAACCTTAATTTGATGAATCATTTTGTACATTGTCTTGTTTATGTATGTCGTCTGTCTCAAATATGTATATTTATTTCTGGTGGTGACTATGAAGGCAGTAAAATTTCATCGACCGCATGATATTCATTTGCTTAAGAATTTCCTAGCGCCAATCAAGAATTTTACACTCCTAATTTCCAAATCACTCCATTTTTTTTTTTTTTTCCTTTCAAACTTCTATTGAGGAGCATAAGGCTTCGATTAAACCTCTCCATCTCTCTCTATTTTGGGCGATAGATCTTATTTGCGCCCAAGTCTTGCCTGCAGCTGTTATTTCTTTTTCTGTTGTTCTTCGCTATGTATTCTTAGGCCTGCCGATGTTTCTCCTACCCTGGGGATTCCATTCCAATGCCTGCTTTGCTATGGATTGTTCTGATCTCCTAAGTATGTGAACTACCCATCTATATTTTTTCTCTATTTGGTTTTCTATCGGGTCCTGTTTGCATAGGTCCCATAGGTCGCTGTTTCTCATTCTGTTGGGCCAGAATA